AGACAGCTGAGCAAGCGAGAGCAGACAGCTCTGCAAGCGCCAGGCTGGTTCTGTCAGCGGACTAAGAACAGCAATGGCGGCCTCGGAGGAAACACCTTGCCAGTAGGGGGACACAGCTGAGTGTGAGCAGAAACAAGCTGGAAGGTCAGGAGTGGCCAGATGACAGTTCTGCTTTCCCGTGTTGTGTTGTTTGTTTTTGTTTTGTTTTCTGGGATTTTTGTTTTCTGCTGGGGGGGCTGGGCTGAGTGTGAGCTGTGACAGCTGTGGTACAATCTTGAGGCTAGAGATTAGATGGAAATAGCACACAGGGATGGCCAAGTCCCTAACAGAGAAACTGTGTCTACAGCTCAGCTTGGATCAGACACTAAAATTAACACATGGCTGGAGCCCTAATTCAACACGCACAGCAAGCCAGAAATAGCAGCAGCTGCGTCTAGATGGAACTGCAAATGGCATACGTAACTCCAGGGTCCAGACCAGCTGTGTCAGAAGTGCCAGGCAAAGATTGATGTGCCGGGATGAATTCCATCACAGAGGGACGGCATGAAGGTGCTGAGGGCCATGCATTTACACTGAGGACAGCAGGTCTGACTGGACCGGAGCCCGACGCCCTCCACCGCTGCTCTGCTGCTTCCTCCTGCCCACCCCACACCTGACAGGATGGCCTTCTAATGCACTGTCTTCACAGGCTCATTACCGCCTCAGCAGGCTGACTGAGTGCCCCTGCACATCTGCAACTTCGGACACTTGCACACTCACCCTCCACATAGCATCTCTTCTGCTGCATTCCCCACTTCACTGAGCTGCCCACGACCTGAGCAGCTGCCCACTGCATCAACCCCTCACCTGAGTGCCCTTCTCCCCTCAACCCCGAACGCCTGACCAGCACTCTGCCTGCCTCAACACCTTTCAGTCCATCCCCATGCTGTTCAGACTGTCAGTTTTTGACATCTTGACATGAACACAGAAATATCAAGGAAGAGGGAGTTCCAGGGAGTCTCCCACAGGTGAGCTCGTGGGCACGGCTGGGGGGCATTTTCCTGTTTAACGCCTGCTGTGGGAGGGCCAGATCCTGTGGGTGGTGGTCCTGAGCTGTGAGGAACTGCAGCTGAGCACGCTGTGGCAGCTCATCCGTAAACCGCCGTCCTGTAGGCCTCTGCCTCAGCTCCTGTCCCGCTACGTGGACTGCAGCCACTCGTGAAATGCACACCCTTCCTCCTGCTGCTTTCGATCATGGAGTCCTCGGCACAGCAACACAACGCAAAGCAGGACACTGCCCGTTCCCAGGGTCCCATTAGGCTCGGCATCTCCTCAGGACTCGGTGTTCTCTCTACCTTCCTGTGCCAACCTCTCACCTTGCCTCTGTTCAGCTGACTCTCATGGGAGCCTTTAAAGACAGACTTCAGAACACAGAGACAGAAGGAAAGAAAGCCCAGATTTCTGGCTCCCAAATTAGCCCTTCTGCAGTCACTCCAGAGGGGACCCAGAAAGGAACCTGAATGCACTCTGGGCAGCCCAGCAGTTGATTTGTGCCTCACAACGGTCACTCACCTTGTCACTTCCTCTGGCATCCCTGTCCTTTCATTTCCTCCCAACTCAAGCTCATACTCCCCACCCAGTCTCTTCCAACAGTATAGACACACCCTCATGGCTCTCCAGACCTAAGTCCTCCCTGTGCCTGTGACCACCTCAAAGCACAGCCTGTGGTGTCACAGCCCCCGTCCCTGTGTTGTCTCCCCAAACCCTGTGATCACACTCAGGAAGTGTATCTCCAGCTCATTGTCGCCTCTTTTCATCCACTCACTCCCTGGTCACCTTAATCTCACTTATCTCCTAGACAACTTGGACAAGCTGTTCTAGAGAGGTTCTGGGTTTGCCCCTTCCTTCCAAAAAGGTCACTTTTCAGACTTCGTTTTTAATGTTGGCAGCATTTGTCTATTCTCTCCTTGGTATCGTCACACACACACACACACACACACACACACACATACACACCACACACACACACACACACACACACACACACAGCACACATAGCCACTCTTCCTTTGCTTCCCCACACTGGCTGCTTCTCCCTCTGTAGACAGCGTAACATCCCCAGGTCCTGGCCCCGTTTCTCACATTGTGCACTGGCTCTGATGATCTCACCTCAGGATTGCTCACTCTGGCCACCAACAAGCTCCTCATTCTTTACTTCCTGCCTCTCGCCCTTGCCTTGCACGTTCAGGCCCTCCCCTCCACAGTTAGGCCTAACAAACCCATACCTCTCAAAATGTCAACTCAAACACTGCTCCTTGCACTAGCAAATTATCTTAACAACCAAGCCTCTCCCCACCAGACGCCCGGCAATAAACCCACCCTGCTGAGCGCAGCTATCCTTTCTCCTCTGGACACTGAATTCCCTGGGAACTAGACCTGGACCACATTAACCGTGTAATTCATGTTTCCCAGGTACACTCTACAGAGCAAACACGCTATGATGCAAATGCGTATTAATACAGTGATCACGTGCATTACTCAATGCAGATCAGAGTGACAGGACTAGTCTGTGTGTGGGATTTACACTACAGTGCGCACACTATCTACAAGCACTTTTACCCAATCCTAACTGGCACAGAGCAAAACTGTTTCAAAGAAATGGTCAGCCATGCCCTCCCGCCTGGTTCGCTGCCTTCGCAGCACGAGCTTCCTGCAGAACCCTGTTGCAGCTTGCTATACCTTCTTCCGTCTCTGTGCATGCTGCTTCCTTTCTTCAAAATGATTTTTTGAATGAACTGTAGCGTGCCTGGCTCCTTCACACTTACCAGGCTTCTTCCCCAACACACACAGCAGCACTCCAGCACAGCTTGAAGCTCTGCATCCTTCGCTGCACACGACACACTGGAAAGTTCGATAGGCACGTCTTAACCTGTTGGATGTTGGACTTCTGTATTCTGCTTACCACTTCACTATATAAATCACACAAGTCAACCTGCTGCGGTTGGGGTTGATGCTAAGTGTTATTATCACTAAAGCAACCTCATCACCGAATCCCAAATGTGAGAAGTGTGCTGGAGCAGGATGGCAAGGATGTCTGTCAAGAGAGGTGCTCCCCACCTCTAGGCAGAGACACACCTCACCCTTTCTGAGGACACTTAGCAGACCCCTGGCTTAGCCACAGAGCCACGCAACCGCCTATGGAAAGACACCACTCGGAAAAAGCACTGGAGCAGGAAAAGCCACTAACACTCAGGAGCTGCCCAACAGCTGACCTAGGAAAACCACCTCTACGCCGACTACCAACATCACAGGCAGGTAGCCTGAGGTGTGCCCAGCCGGTGCTTTCAAAGCCAAACACAGCTCACAGGGCTGCATACTCGGTAAATACACACATAAGAGGGAGAGCTACCCACCAACTCCTCCTCGAACAACACTTCTAGACAGGTCAAGAGAGCTGAAGGGGAGCTTATGACCTCAGCCCGTCCCTAGACAACAGCTGGCCGCAAGAATTCAACACTGTGCCACCGTAACAAGCGCTACCTTTCCTGGGGCTGTGCCGCTTCGGATCTGACTACAACCAAAAGCATAACACGTAGTGCTGTTAATCAGAGAGAGTGTGAGCGTGTGTGCGTGTGTGTGTGAGCTGATGTTGGGCTGTCTTCCTCAACCAGGACACCTTTTGTCTGGACACTCCAGACTACCTGGCCAGCACACCAGTCTGAGCTGTGCCTCCACAGCTCATCTGTGGGGTTACAGACACATGCTGCCACGCCTGGCTTACATAGATAACTGGGGATTAGAACGCAGATCTTCATTCTTGCCGTGCAAGCATCTTACCCACTAGGCCATGCCCCCAGCCATTCTCACTTCTTAGCGTTTCTGTGTATTTTCTGGTGCCAAAGGATGCCTCAATACGCTGAGGACACCTACTCTCGATGTCACATCAGCATTCTGTAACCCTAGCAAAGCCACACCACCTTATTCATCCCAATGGTAGTTTAAGATTAACTCACTAGCTCTGACAGACGCTGGGGCCAATTCGTGAAGGAGTTTATAGGTTAATTAGCTATTAAATATGGGGAGTTAAACAACACTGAACCCACTTCAAAGCCTGAGAAGCTGAGAAGTGACGATTTTAAAGTGTGCCCTGGGCTCTGAGTTACCCCTCGGGCTGTGTGACAGGGGTGTTCTTGACATTCACAAGAGAACGATCTGGAGGTGCCAGGCTTTTCTGCGCTGCACTGGGAAGTACCGACAGTGTAAGTGCAAACTGCAGCCTGTTCAAGCAGTTAGCTTGTGTGGCAGCACCTAATCTAAACACTGTTAAGAGTCCACCCTCTGAAGTCATTTCAACACAGCGCGGTGGGGAAAAGTTGCTTCTCCGCCCTCTACCTGCTGACCACTGCTGACGCTCCGGTCAAGTGCAGCCGCGTCCAGGCACCAAGCGTGCGTTCTCCTGCCAAACGACTTCTAACTTCACTTTACAGCGCTCCGTTTTCCAGCCCCCAACAAGTCTTCAGGGACAATGGGGAAGAAGTACGAGCAAGTTAAAACCGAGGGGCCAGATCCTGGCGCGGAGGGGGAAACTCACACGCCCCAGGAATCAGATGGGTGCGCGGCAGCCCGCGTGAATGACGGGGGAGCGGGGACCGGGCAGGATTCCAGCGTCGCCCCCACGGGGCCACCTTCCAGCCCCGCGCGCGAGCCGTGCAGAGCGTGCGTGGGCCCGGGCCACGAGCTCGGCGAGGCAGCCGGCCGGACCCTAACTGCCCAGCCCACCTGCAGCAGGGCAGGAGCTGCTGCGCGCCGTGCGGGAGGCGCCGGCGCGGGCGGGACGCGGCGGGGCGCGGGCCTCGGGGCTGCGGTGGGGGCGGCGCCCGCTGCCCCCGAGGGCAAGAACTGACAAGGCTGGGGCGCGGGAGCGAGGGCCCAAGCCTCCTGCAAACGCGAGGACCCCAGCCGGATCCGACAAGTGCCCGGACGGAGCCGTGCGCCCCGAGGACGGAGGAGCCGGTACTCACAGAGCCCGCTGGAGCCGGTGCTGGTGAACATGGTCCCGCCGGCCCGGAGCCCCCGCGGGAGGGGACGCGGAGGTGGCGAGGGGCCCCAGCGGCCGCGCAGGCGCACTTTCACCAGGGAGCGCAGTCGGCCCGCCGAGGCGCTCCGGAGCCGCCAGGAGGAAGACGCATGCGCGGCCTGGGGGCGGGCACCCGCCCCTTCCTGCCGGGGAAGGAAGTGCGTCAGTGCAACGGGGTCCGCTCCTTCCGGTAGTACCGGGATAGGAAAGGGGTCAGCGGCCGCCGGGGCTCCCGGGACAGCACGGCCGCGGTTCCCACGCATGCTCAGGACTTCGGAGCAGGCCGTGCAGTTCGGTGAACCGGCTTCCGGTGACCCACCGAGCCCCTTGGGGCAGGCGGAGGGTGGGAAGGGCCGCTCGTGTCTTCGGCCCTTCCAGGCGGGAGTGGGACCGTCCACCTGACCTCCGTTTTGCACTAGGCACTGCTGTCTTATTTTTACCTCTGCTGAGTGAGATTTCTTATTGCTAAGGCCCCAGTGTTTCTCATGAGTGCGAGTCTGAAAACGTGGAAAATGGTTTTTCTTTTTTTAACAATGGATACTGTAGGGAAATTGAAGCGACATACCACAGAAGTATGGACGGAGCACTTGGAAGAAATCCTGAGAATTTGCGGGGCTTGGTTCCGTGCTAAGTCTGGCTTTACACGACTAGACTACAACAGGTCTTAGGGTTAGGACCCAATAAAATAATGCACACAGCAGAGTTTCTATGAAAGACGTTTATTGGGTGGAGATGAAATACGAGGGAGTGAGACATGCTTGGGGGGAAGGGAGGGGACACCTTGACAGAGAAAGGGGAGAGGGCAAGAGAGCAACAAGTGTAGCCGTGTTTTTGCTGTAGATGGGCCTGTCGGGAAGGCTCTTCTCTTATTATTTTTACCAGCTCCTAGTTGAACCTTTTAAGGAGAAACTTAACCACGCCTGTCAGGTGTGGCTACCTGGCTGGCGACACATGATGACATCATAGGTTGCTAGGCAACCTAGAAGCAGGCTGTCTAAATACTAACATTCCTCCCTTTTTCTATAATTAAAAAAAAAAAAAAAATGAGCTTGGGCTGCTTCTCCTGTAAGACAAGTTAAAGTATATAAACTTAGGTTTATTGGAAGCATCTTAGTAAGAGAAAGGGGGTAAGAGAGAGAAAAATAATAGCAACAAAATGTCCAGATTACATGGTCAAGAGGAGGGGAAGCCCCTGCACTGGAAAGTTCGGGGTAGACAGTTGCCAGCCACGCAAGGCAGCAGGTAGGGACTGAGGAATGCTGGGAGAACCTGGAGCTGCTTGTCCTGGTCCTAAAGCACACCATTCCAGCCTTTTGTTAGTACGGGAATAACAGGTGTAGATTCTCTTCTGGCTGCTTCCTGCTGACACTGGAGGCGCTGTAGGAGGTCAAAAGGCTGAAATGCTGGCCAAGTCCAGGAAGAACAGGCTGTTTTGATGCTGTCCAGGGTCTATAAGAACATCCATGGCTGGGAGGGAAGGTGCAGGTCCAGCTTGATGGAAGTCGTGAGGTCAGACTGGGACACCTGTGGTAGCTGCTTTGGCGCTGTTGCGGATATAGGAAACACTGAAACATATACATAGGCAGAAGACAAAGTTAAGTAGGTTATGCAGAAATTTTCTTTAGGTGTACATTTAAAACTTCTGGGAGAGTGAACAGAGGTGGAAGGTTTGGATCAAAGAGACTTGAACATGGGAACCTCCATTTACCCATCACTGGCAGTAGTTAAAAAGGCTTTGCTTTGGATCTGTCTTGTAAGGAAATTGAGGCCAACTTTGGTTACAGAAGTATGTGAGCCTTGAGGCCCTTAAAGTGGGCACTAGGTGTAGAAATCTGAAGTTTTCCAGAAGATATCCCAGAGAATCTGGACGAACTGGACTATTTCCATTGGGCAGGTAGGAGTCAGTGACCTGTCAAAGCATCCCAAGAGCAAGGTTGACTCAGTAGAGTAGTATGGTACAATCTGTTCCAACAGCTCACCAGTGTTGGCCAGAGACCAAGGGCACAGTTGCCCGTAGCAGACATGGCTTATGTAGCTAGGATTTTCATAGATGAGCAAGAAGGGGAGGGAGAGAAAACATGCCAGTAGAGGGAAGGTCTTACCCAAGGGAGAAGGAGGTCCTAGATGAAGGCTTTAGATGTAGGTTGGTGAGAGCGGTAGGAAGTGTTTTCGCCAACCAGAAGTGAAGACTCACCAAATGGCTGGTGTTGGGTATACAAATGTAGCTGTTGGTAGGATACCAACCAGAAGGGCAGACTCACCGCTCAGCTGGTGTTGGATATAGGAATGTAGCAAGTAGACAGGAAAGGGAACTTCCAAAACCAGGGAAAGGGGAGGAATCCCACCCTCTGAGATAGGCAATAAGTGCCTATCTCTTGTCTGGAGCCCAGTTGACCTGAGGGCTGGATTCAGGTGATTTCCTGCAGCTTACAAGAATTACTTTTAAGTTTAACAAAGGAGATAAAACTTTAGACATGTTAGCATCACAATTGTAATCTTCACTGAAATATACATTGTAGAAAAGGCAGTGGACATGCACATCTGTGTTAACAGCACAAGCATTCTTTAAGGTGAGCTCTGGAAAGGCAGAAGCCTTTTGTGAAGTAGAAGGGACAAAAGCTCACTTGATCTTAACCTTTAGTATAAGCACACATTATGGAGATTTAAAATCTTGAGCTTGGAACCATGATAGTGGGTGGCATAGTGGGATGTTTTGTATTAGAGTTAGATTAATAAGTCAGAGCTCTGTTGATAAAGGTCAAAGCTCTGGACAGTCAATATAACAGTATCATGGCAACAGGAGGAAATATTAAACATTTTTACCTATTTAGGATACCTTAAATTACCTTAGACCTTGCGACCTTTATAACTTGCATTTATCAACCTTAAAACATTTTCGTAGACCCCCAAAGAACATTTTTTTAGGCCTTTCTATCTAGTTATTTACCATGAGACATAGGTGAGACTGCTGTGAACATTTATTGTCCTTTAGCTAAAAGGATGGTAAAAGGTTACATCTGAGGCCTGTTTCTTGAGTCTGGCAACAAGGCATATTGTGTCTAGGCCTGCCAATAGCTACTCTAGGACTCAGGCTTAAGGCCTGGTCTCCTGCATATAAGAGAACTGAGAAGGCATCTGAAGTCTCCCAAGACAAAAGTTGGCAACAGGTCCATGGGACCCCAGTGTGAGGCCAAAACAGACCTGCAATGTTACCCTGGGTTCTACCAGGATGGTGGCGGTCGCTGAATCAAGGAGCCATTTGTCCTCCGCCAGGCCAAGGAGCTGGAAGGCTGGAAGCGTCTATGGCTCTTGTGCTAGTTGAGCCTCCATGGCTGGGCAAAGAGGACAAGCCTGCATAAGAGCATTTTGACTCCCAGAGGCCAGTCTGCCAGCAGGCAGCCAGGCTTGTTGAGGCAGCAGCGGGACCAGCGTCCCCTTTGGCTGCATTTGGAACCGTCACCTGGTGGAATTGACTTTTGGCTATACTGTGGCGGGATGGGGCATTGCAGACCTTGTTTTTTTTTGTGCGGAAATGCCATCAGCCTCATAGCAGCAGTCAAGGTCAGGAACATAGTTTTTGCTGTAGATGAGCCTGTCGGGAAGGCTCTTCTCTTATTATTTTTACCAGCTCCTGTATGGTGACTCAAGGACCATCCTCAGCTGTTTATCAAAGATGGCAGTGAGACCATGTTTGCAGCTGTAGGACTATCAATATATTTTTGGACATGTTAGAGGACTTGATCATCTATGAGATGACTGACTATTAATTTGCATTCGTTAACCATCAAATATTAGGACTTTAGGTTTTGTCCCTGTTAAGTTGGAACCTTAAAAGTCATAGATATAGTCCATTAAAGTGAGAGCATAACAATTTTTGTATGATTTAGTATAGAACAAGTTCATAGCTTATAAAAATCTAAGGCTATACAATAGACTAATAATAATACCATTTTTAGAAAACAAGACCAAGCATATTTTAACCTTTTGATAGTGAAGATATAATACAATGATCAAGTTTTAACATAAAGAAATGTCTCTAAAATTAATACATCTTAGAGTATTGGTAAAAACTTGTACATAGTAACCCCTGAGTTATGAGTTTTAAAACCAACAATATAGTAGAACAGCATAAAGCAATTTTAAAATTACGCTTGAATTTATTATACCAAATTTATTAGCCAGAAAGCCTAGTGGTGAATCTGGATCATAGGCAGCTCATGGCAGGAGAAACAGCATTTATTAATTTAGGAATTGATAAAGACATAGGAGTTAGACATACATTTTAAATTAGCTTAATTTGAATAGACCTTTATAACTTTGAAATTTTATCATTATATAAAACTTTTGAACCAGGGTTGAAAAAATATAAAAATATAACTTTAAAGTTATATAAAAATTCATACCGATTTAAAATGAGGCTTGTTGTTTTTAGTCTAACAGCAATAGTTTAGAAGCATTCTGTGTCTGTGTACAAAGCAGCAGTTTCAGCATCTGGCATGAGCGTTTTAGTTTCCCCAAGCCGATTATGGTGCAGTGTCAGTGTCCTATGTGTCCCTGGGGCTTGGTACTCGGAGCATCTGGCAGGATGCCAACTCTAAGCAGCCTTGAGCAGAGGGACAGGTGTGCGCGGTAAGGCAGGGCGGTTGAGAAAAGGTGTAGGTTTTAAGGCATATGTGGTCTAGTGGTGAGCATATGGGTGGTTAGGGATAGGTAGAGCAGAAAAAAATCTGTTGCAGACATCATGGTCGGAATAAAGGGGTCCTGGCATGAACAGACCAGGTGCTACCAGGAGAGCCCTTCCCAGCCAATGCACCAATGTTAGGACCCATGAAATGATGTGCACAGCAGATCTTATATGAAAGAGGTTTATTGGATGGAGATGAAGAGAGAGAAGGAGAGATGATGGGGGAAGGGAGGGGGTACTCTGACAGAGAAAGGGGAGAGAGCAGGAGAACGAGAGAGCATGAGGACAAGAGAGAGACAAAGTGACTGATTGATCCTTTTATGGCGCAACTGAACCACACCTGCCAGCATCATAGGTTGCTAGGCAAACCAGAAGCAGGCTGCCTAAATACTAACACTTAGTTCAGTAGACAAGGCTAATCAGTATTCCACAATGTGAAGGCATGAGTAATCTTCTGCCATTTAGCCTTTGTTTTCAGCTGGGTCAAAAGCACGAAGTACATTTAACTTAATTTCATACAGTTGGGTTTTTTTTTGTTTGTTTGTTTGTTTTTGTTTTTGTTTTTTTTTTTTTTTTTTT